AAAAATAAGATCAACCTGTGGCTCTCTGAGCAGGCCCAGAGCAGGAGAAACCTGAAGGAAATCTCTTCTTAGATTAAAATTCTGTACTTGGCCTAGCAGACACAAACCAAACTAAAACTCAAGAAGAAAAAGTCACCAAGGCAACCCCACCACTGAACAAAACGCCTTCACACCGTGGAGATAAGAGATGCCCATGTATATGTATATTTGCCTATAGGAGTGTGCGGGTAGCTACACATAGGCGTGGTGGCTCTGTGGGCATAGAGGGACGCCTCCATGCCTTGACCTCACTCCCGGGGCACAGCGGGAAGCAGAGAGATAGGGCCCCGAGCTGGAGTGGGGAGAGGGGTCGGCTTGAGCCCTTCCTTAAATGTGGAAGGCAAGCCGATACTGCACACTGCTCAGCCAGCATTTGTCTGAGCAAGACACTACCTGGCTTTAAACAACTGTCTCCTGGAGGCAAATCCTGAAATAAATGGAGTACCTAAGATTTTTTTTTTTTTTTTGTCTTCTTTCAAAAGGTTTCAAGGTTTTATTCTCCCTTGAGCTCCTCTGACTCTCAGTACAAACTGAGCAGGGCAAGGGATGGTGCCAGGCATATGCCTTAGGAATGGCAGCTTGCAGGGAATATTGCAGGGGTTCAGAGTGCTGCTGGCCTACTTTGTCCTGGAAGATTGATCTAACCACACCATATAAATTAATGAAAAGATTAAACTTTTGCTGAAGGGGACATCAACTCTTATGTCATCTTCCCAGATCTTCTTACTTGGGCTCTGTAATATCTTTCCAAGGCCTTGATGTACTGTTTCTATAAAAATAAATTACTTGTAATTGAATTCTGCACTCTTTCTTTCAAGTACTTTATTACTGAGGAGCACCTTAACAGGATGTTCATAGTTACAGGAAAATTGGTACTTCAAGTGCTTACAGATCTTAAAACACCACACACACACACACACACACACACACACACACAGAATAAAAAAGAAAAGCCCCCAAAAAAATCAGGAGGAGATTATGACCGAGGTTAAAAAAAAGTATTTATTAATTTTATAAAAGAGGTTTGTGTGGATTAAAAAATATCCCTATACATAAAATAAGTATAAAGAGGAAGAAGAAGGAAAATGGATAATTAATTAGGAAATAAGCAGACAGTTAATATCAATCAATAAGTGGAAGCAGAAAAAAAAAAAAAAGAAAAAGGCAGAAAAGGGAAAGGTTTTTTTTTTTTCCCCTAATACTTTCAGAATTGTTCTCTAATTCCTATCTGAACCTCTTGTCCCTTGCTGTTAAAGGATATAGTTTCAATTTAGCGTGGAAATTTGCTGTAAATAAATTGAAGCTCCTATGGTAGCTAGTCCTTATTAACCTTTTATTTTTAGTGCTGTACTGGAAACTCATATCACCCAGCTGTCAGGGTTATAATTGAAAGTTATGAGACCATAGTGAGGAGCAGGCAGTAATTCAATTACAACAAATATCTTTGGGTTTATGGTGCAGGGCTAAATTAAATGTCATTATTCACTGTCTCTAATGGAAATCAAAAGGAAATCAGATTAGAGCATTTGTGAAAGAAATCACTGAGTGATCCTTAATGAAGAAATAACTGTCTAAAACAGTGTACTGTGCTTTACTTAGCATATTCATGACTAATTGGAATTGATCGCGAATCACACCAAGCCTGATTTATTATCGCTTAATGCAGTGGCTAATTCATCACTTTTATTCCTCATAACCTTATTTTTTCATAGCTAAAGGGAAAGGCCACTTCGTTTTCCAGATTTAAATATAATTTCGGTTTGAAAGATGTTCTGATTTGCAAGAGAAGTTGTTTAAACGCTGCTTAAATTTCTTCTGACAATTTACACTGCTTTGTCGAGGCGGGGGGGCATGGGGAATACACACAAGGAGATTTCCTGCAAGGATTTACCACAGTAAAAAGAGATGTATTATTGTCGCTACAGCTCGATAATATTTTGCATGCTCATATTTAAATACATATGTACATGTGTATAAATCCCAAACGGTCCGGATAAAAAGGAGAAGCGATGCACGTTGCTAATATTTGCGTATTGCTGGTAAGGAAAAATAGGTTTGTGCCGCTCTGTGCTGTGCAGGGCAGAGGGGCGGCAGCGATGCCCTCTTAGCACGGGGAGGGTTGCACTGGCGACAGCCGTCAGGGACAGGAACCAGGATTCGCGGACGGGTGGGTGGGTGGGTGGGTCGGTCGGTCGGTCTGTCTATCTGTCCGTCGGTCGGTCGGTCCGTCCGCACCCGCTGCGCTCCGCAGTCCCCGGTGCGCGCTTCCCCCACAGACACCCTAGGCAGGAAAAATGGTGCGCTAAATCAGAGAAGGCCAATTCCTACTTAAGAAAATCACTGAGGTACCCGAGGTAATTAATGCCTTCGGAAGCCTTTCTTTGCACTAATTACTCCGTTGTAAATGACCATCATTAAGGCAATTGAAGAAAGCTTGAAGGGAAAATTTGATGTAGGAAGTGCAGTTAGTATTAATTAACCGTATGATCTCTTGGCAAGTGGAAGAACATCAAAGGTTGTAGGTGTTTACTTAGCCACACGATTTTATCAGCGGTGAAAGTCAATGTTTGTCCCTATTTGGTAGGTTTTGGTGAAAAGATAAGGATACGCAAAATATTTTGGCCCGCTTTTCTGATAATGTTTTGGGGAGACCTATTAATCAACCACGGCGGAAGGGGAAAAGTAATGAAGGTCTGAAATGCCCCTGGAAAAGAGACGCGGGAAGCGCAGTGGCAACTGCAAAGTTCTGCGATTGTTTGAGCGAGAACGGCTGGAATTGGGGAAGCATTATCGAATTACAGGCATTCCTCGGGTAGGGGTATGAGCACTTCTTTACATCCCAACCTGCAAAAGATGCTGCTCTTGTCTGGCCAGAAGTCCGCAGAAGCAGATTTTGTTTTCTTTAACATTTAGGGAACGGGGAATGATTCTGACCCTTTCGCGAGGTTTGAGTGTCTCGCATCTTGTCAGAGATCATTGATTTTAATTCCAGCTCGGGAGAGGGCAGGAGATCTAGTCTCTTGGGGGCCAGACCCTAGAGTCTGATCTGGCACACGCTGGCTCTTCCCAGGCTTCTTAAGATGATTAGGAAGGGTACGAGAGTCCCGCCCGTCCTGCGGGTGGTCTTACTGTAAGTGTCGCTCCAGACGGGTGGCAGAAAGACTGCCACTGCCTGCCCAGGGGACACGGAGCCCTCCGGGACCGGTGCTACGCGGCAGGCTCCTGGCTTCTGCCTCTGCGAGAGCGCTTCCCAACTCCTAGGTTCAACTGAGGGACCACAACAAGGAGCAGGACCTCCCGTCCAAACAGCCCCACAGCATCACAGAAGGGCTCACTCCGGCTGGGATCGAGATCATCCCCTCGACTGCTCCCGAGGGGAGACCTCAGCAAAGCTGTGCAGTCTCTCGCCTCACCCCCCCTCCATCTCTAGCTCCTGTAATAATGCTCCCTTAGCACATGCCTAGGCCACCTCAATTTTTCTGTTGTTGTTTTGTTTTTGTTTGCTTTTTCTTTTCACAGGTCTGGTTCCAGAACAGGAGAGCAAAGTGCCGAAAGCAGGAAAATCAGATGCACAAAGGTGGGTTAGGGGTGCGGACTGGCCGGGGGCTGGCGGCCTCGGAGCCCCGGGGCGCCTTCGCCACTCACCCGGCCCCGTCTCTCTCCGCAGGTGTGATCCTGGGAACCGCCAGCCATTTAGACGCCTGCAGAGTAGCCCCCTATGTGAATATGGGAGCCCTGAGAATGCCTTTCCAACAGGTAGTTAGCTCCGGTTTTATTTTACTTTCCCTCAGTAAGCTCCGACCCCCATTCGTTTGCACGGGAGGAAGCCGGACACGTTTACAAGTGCCATTTATATAGAAGTTGGCACGTATTAAAAACAGGCTGTAAAACTTGGTGAAGGAGCCCTCGCCCGGCTTTCGGGAGCTCAGCGCTCCTCGGGACCGAGCGGGGGGTCCCGCGGCCCGGGAGGCGCCGGCGGGGCTGAGGCCCCTGCGCCGCCGGGCGATGGGCTGGCACACGCCCCAGGGCCGCCCGCAGACCGGACCGGCCTCCCGGGGCCGCATCGCCTTCCCCGGGCGGGGTGGGCCCGGGAGTGCCCGGACAAGCCCGCCCGCCCTCTGCGGGGACAGAGCGGCTCGGTCCCGAGCGGCCCGGGGGCTTGGGTCTCCTCCTGGCGCGGACAGCGCTGCGGGAGGAGGCTCTTCCACCCGCTGGGCGAAACCATGAGGGGCAAAACCACGCCGACCCTTGCGCTATAGTTCCCTCCTCACTCCCGGGCGGGCTGTGGAGATCTGTCCTTTTCCAATGGAGCGACCACCCGGAGGTGGGAAGCCTGCACTCAAATGCTCTGCCACCCTGATGGTCACCCAGGACAGGGGCAATGGCAGAGCTCAGACACCGACGCCACTGCGGGGCCCGGGTCCGTGCCCCAGCGAGGCGCAGCCACCGGGGAAGGCCGCTGGGGAAAACCGGGATGAGGGTGATGAAATTCCATTCCCGCTTCTAGCCGGTTGTAACCCTCCCTCGGTATTTTCTTTTTTTTCTTTTTTTCTTTCTTT